AAGATATTTGAGAGGCTGCTGCTTAAAAGAATTCATGAAACAGTTGATCTGGATAGCTTACTCCCATCCCATCAATTCGGATTTCGACACTACCACTCAACTATCCATCAATGCCACAGAATTGTTACCCATATTATGAGAAGCTTGGAGACAAAGCGCATATGCACCGCCTCATTCCTAGATATAAAGCAAGCTTTTGATAAAGTGTGGCACAAGGGCCTGTTATTTAAACTCAAGCTGCACTTCCCAAGTCAGTTGTACCTTGTACTTAAATCTTATCTAGCTGAGAGATTCTTTCAAGTTAAGATCAACAACACGGTATCTGAACATCACGAAATCACTTCCGGTGTGCCACAGGGCAGTGTACTGGGGCCCTTACTATATCTACTCTACACCTCTGACATGCCGAACATGGATCACACTTGTAGTAGCCACTTTCGCTGACGATACAGCTATTCTAGCAACCAACGAAAAACCGGAAACAGCAGCGGCACACCTACAAAGTCACCTCGACGTCCTGCAAAAATGGTTCAACAAATGGCGTATCACAGTAAATACCGATAAGTCAGTGCATGTCACGTTTACCAACAGAAGAGTCATATGTACACAGGTCAGAATTAATTATGCTACAATACCTCAAAAAACAGAAACTAAGTACTTAGGCCTACATCTAGATCAGAAGTTAAACTGGAATGCACACATTAAGGCCAAAAGAAAACAGATTGACATTAAGGCTAAACAAATGAACTGGCTAATTGGTAGACGATCCCAACTTTCCCTATCGAACAAAATACTATTGTACAAAATCATATTAAAACCCATATGGACGTATGGGATCCAATTATGGGGATGTGCAAAGGCCTCTCACACCCAAATTCTACAGAGATGTCAATCGAAAATGCTCCGAACAATAACGAATGCTCCGTGGTACGTAACAAATGCAACTCTCCATGCAGATCTCTGATCTAGGTATTCCATACGTGGCTAACGAGATTCAGAGACTCGCAAGAACATACAATCGCAACTTGGCAGGACATGGGAACGAACTAATAGGTCAGCTGATCCACCAACCAGGTGTTAATAGAAGACTGAAGCGACTATGGCCACATGACTTACTATAATAACAATTCGTAGTAGAATATTACATATAGGGAAAGCCACGGCACCCTACATGACCTGTAAAAAAAAACCATAAAACATTTACTAATTACTTGTTTCATAAGTAGATTGTAAATTTGCAGATCAATAAAAAAAATCCTTGTGAACAAGATCTATTTACCCTGAGGTGAATTTCTACCCGACACTGAAGGGAACATCTTAGACCTTTTGGACAAATAACTGTAATGAGTGAAATTAGTCCACCCCTTTATTGACGAAGATATAGGGACTGTAACATGTGTTTACTCGTTAAAATTCATTAAATTGCTGTGTGGACTTCATAATGTTATTTAAAGATCCATTGCTTTTAAGAAGACTGTTTACACATATAAACCGAATAGACGAAGTAATTACCCAGACTAGGAAATTCGTCAAGCATTTTTTAATTAAATTTTTCTTCAAATTCAAAGCGCGATGTTGAAACATGGCTACTCTTAAAACATAATTACGTTGTGAATTTAAAATTCAGTTTTGCTCTATATTTCGGAACTTTTATTTAAATTGATGTAAATTTATAGGTGGGTACTTTGAAAAGCTTAATTATTTTAATCGTGTTTTTAAAGTTGAATGGGTGAATTTTTTTTAACGAAAAATTGATTCTCCCCGGTGAAATTTTGTATTGAGAAGTGAAATTATGCAAAGACCCGCGGAACTGGGTGTATAATTAAAATGCGTGGCAGTACATCAAATGGAAATGCGTATACGGTATACCATTGAATAATATTATTATTCAATGGTTCTACTGTGAAAGACGTACAACAAAATTTAAACAAAAAGTACTTACCTACACGTACATATAAATTTAATTCATCATGATTGTCCAGCCGTTTCTTCGCACAAAGGGGGTAATTTTCACGTAGTCTGATCAAACGAAATATATCGTGACTAGCGGGGTATTTTTTGTAACAGGGCGTTGCTCTGTGAAAATTGCCTTCCATATTTTATTTTTACTAATCTTCACGTCGTACAAAAATATTAGACAAATTCGTGACCTGCCAAGTGCGTAATTGTCGTAAATTAAGACATCTGAATTTGCGTATTTCACAATAATTTATGTCGAACAGAGAAACGCGAAATGACATCAAGCGCTAAACCTCAGTAAAACGTGCTTACTTGAAAAGCTCATGAACATTTAATTAATTTTCTAATTGAAACCGTTGACGTGGTTGTCTCACTGTGAACAAGGGTATTAACTTTACATAGGTCATTCTCATAAAGGCTCAAAATTGTTTCAGTGTTACCGGTGAGCAGATATGAAACAAATTATCAACTACAAAAGTCAGCCGTTTACTTGCAAGTTCTCTTTTACTATACTATAGCGTCTGCAATTAGTACAACATGCAATTTCTCCATTTGTACCAATTCCTAGCGCTGCAGTTTAATTATCCTTGATTTTGCTTTAATTAGTTTATTTGGAAGTCTGTTTAAACAAACATCTCACATCTGCAAGACGCAACCATTTTATTACAAAAACTTGTATTTCATTTAACCATTTAAGCTTCCGGTTAATATCACGAAATGGAAACTTGGATCGCTTCCTCGATTTTATTTTACTGCCCGTAAATTTTAATCAAAAGAAAGTAATCACTAAACGAAAGCTTACGAATGATTAATGCTTATAATTTTGTAATTTATTTTCTTCCTGGGAGATGCTCTTATTTTAGGTTTAAATTTAATCCCATAAACAAAGAGCGCCATATAGGTATAACTTTAAGAGGTAACAAGCCACGCTGAATATTGACTAACCGTCTTGTTTTCTTAATTAGACTTGCAGAAATTTATTGAGATCTGAACTCCACGGGGCGTCACATCATTAATTTAGAAGTTTCTGATTGTCTATATACATATTTTATGCTACCCATAGGCCATGTGTCTTACGATTGGTAAAAAAATGTGCTGTACCTCGCAGGCCAGTACCAATGCCCAATCTATGAATATAATTTATCATAAAATATTGCGAATTTTGAGACTGGGATTCCAACTTAACGCCCATATTTGATACTTTTTCGTACTTGAATTTTGTACTCATCTTGTGCTGTTTTACTTTTTAAAATGGGACTGCAATTTCACGCTTATACTATGGTACTGTAAAATTAGAAATCATTTTGTACTTAAAATTTTTTGCTTATTTTGTACTATTCTTTGCTGTACCTTTAGAGTGTAGATGTAGTTCGTTCAGCATTATAGGTTTCACATACAATAGTTCTTTATTTTCGCCGCTAGGGGCCATCCAAGAGTTATAGGTTTTACAGTGACTCTATAGAGGTTAGACGAGGCGAAGCCGAGTCGAAGTATCAGTCAAATTCGCGAAATAGGTACGCACTAGCGTTAAATGCAATATTTTTTCTACAACTGAACCGATTATTAATTAAATTTGCTGTTTAGGTTCAATTTTGTCACGTGCGCGAAATACTATTTTTCACTATGGACGGTTTCGCGCACGTTGTCAAGCGCAACGTTACTTATTAATTAACCGTTTAAAAATCTAGTACTTCGTGTTTCGAAATTCGTCAGAAAATAACAGGATTTTTTAGCAGTTGCAGAAAAATATAATTCGTAAGGTTTTTCTTTTTATTAATTCGCAAGAGGTTTTCTAATATAGTTGTTGCCTCCGACTGTTTGTCAATTTTCCTTGCAGATATTTTTGAGATCCCTATTCTTCATATATATCCCTGCGAAATTCATAGCGGTCTTCAAAGTTAATTTTTCCCTTCTTGGCAATGTTCTCTAAGACAGCGGTTCTCAAACTATGGTACGCGTGGTACGCGAAGCTTCTCAGGGTGGTACGCAAGCAGCCATGACCATAATAGGACCATAGATAGGGCTTGAACTTACTAGTAAACAATATTTTTATACGTAAACAATTTGAATTTTTTATACTTTACCTGTTAAAATTAACCATTTTTAAAGATTTATTAGAATTTTTAACAGTTCAGTGGTACGCGACAGATCTATAATATGAGTGGTACACGAAAAAAAAACTTAGAGAACCGCTGCTCTAAAAGGGATACCCAGTCTTTAAACACGTGAGTAGAACCGCGTCACTTGTCGGCCATCTTGGATTTTATTCGCGGGGTCAATCAAGGTCAATTAAATTGATTCGCGGGGGTTGCCCACGTGGGCGGGGGTGTTTTCGGGGAAATTTGATTAATTTCTTGGAATTAATTAAAATTTTGTGCGATTTTGGTCTTTATTGGCATATGATTTGATTGATAACGTTATCAATTAATTAAATTGGCGGTTTGATTAATTTAATTCGCGGTTGATTTCTTAGAATTTCGGTTTAATCAATTTGATTCGCTGCTTAATCAATTTAATTCGCGGCCCAATTAATTTAATTCGCGGTTTGATTGATTTAATTCGCGGTCCAATTAATTTAATTCGCTGATCGATTAATTTGCTGTACAAATAATTGCACATATGTGGTAATTACACATATGTAATAAACAATTACACATGTATAATTACACATACACACACACATGTGTAATTACATTTTAATTACTCTAATTGAAAACAAAATGGCGGAAAAACAAAATGGCCACCGAAGGCGGGAAATTTAAAAAAATTAGGACTTTAAAAATATTTTGGGTTTGTGCACTATCGCTCTCTCTCTTACTCATTGTGCACCATCTCTCTCTCTCTCTCTCTCTCTCTAACTCATTGCGTATATCGTTCTCACTGTAGTATGCTGAAAATAGAAGCTAGAAATGAGCAAAACAAGTTTTAATTATATTTATTACATCACAGAAACAAATAAATAAACAAAATCAGTACAAAAAAAAAATGCAACAATAAACAATAATTATGATACAAACCCATTTCCACACCACCCTGGAGGTAAGGCTGAGGCGCGCTTTTTTTAACGTGGTGTCCCCTGTAGGCCTAATCCACGGAACGTATGTACAAACTAAAAACTAAATATGTACAAACTAAAGCTAATTTGTTCTATAGCCGTATGGTAGAGTGTCGTATCCTACGTCTAAACGGCGACGCTTCGTGTACTCGACACGGTACCTTTTCCTCTCCGGCTTGGAGATGACGTCGTACGTACACGTGCGAGCTATACGTCGATCTGTCTCTACGTAAGTCTCCGGGGCATTGTTCAACACAGCGTCTTTGATTGTTTCAAAGTTCACTACGCGGCTGTTCTTATAGTTTAGGGATATGCCCTTAACTTTGCACACAACACTATACGTGTTCGCACTGGACGAAAACACCTTGTATGCATAGTTTTTAGGGCCGCCACTAACGAATTCCACAATTTGGCTCCCGGGTCCATAACACTCGATTTCATCGGTCATATCTCCCAAGAAGCTCCCGCAAGGTGGTGACCATTCTTCGGATTTCTGCGTGAAGATTACAGAGTCGGTGTCAAAATACAGGACCCTTTCGCCAAGCTTCTCCAGGTACTCGTATAGTACCAGACGGGCATTGGCTGTGGTGTAGGCTGCCAGTACAACGTTTGTGGTTTTCAATGGCTCGACTGCTTCTTCGGGGAGGGTCCAGTTGACGATGAGGGTCTCGTCGTTTACGGGAATGATGGAGTTGACTTCCATGGACGGATCCGTGAGCATCTTGAAGAATTCTTCAGCCTCCGAGATGATGCTCGTCTTCGACAGATTGTCGCGCTGGCCAAACTTTCCCCAAAAGGAATTGAGGAATAGTTTGGCGATATAGCGGAGACCAGCGTTCACTTCAATCTTGCTCCGATCAAGTTGAATCCCCTCATGCTCCATGTAGTCGGCTAGATACTTCATACATGCCTCTTCGGAAAGACACCAGGATGGCCATCCACTGCATTCCTGTTTTGTTTTCAGGAAATTGTCCACATAACCGGAGAATAAACCGCCGGTTTTCGACTCACGGTTGTATTGGGTTGTCTCATACTCCCATACTTCGTGCAATTCCTGAACGACATAACCCAAGGAGATGGCTTTCCGTAGTTCGTCGGCTACGTAAGTGCCAGTGAAACGTCGGTCCTCATCATCATTGTGCTCACACTCTCCTTGATTCATTGTTTCGCAGCATGTACGGCATAGCGGGAACATAAGTTTACCATGGCATCTGTATGGTAGTACGGGATGATACAAGTTTTGCGGAGGAAGGACAGTGCACTTAACCATGCCCTCTATGGTGTTCAAGTTGCAGGAGTGAAGTTCTTCGGGCGTAACAAGTACTCGAGGATGGCCCAAAGGATACTTCCCATACTTGTTTACGTAGGGGTAGAGGGAACACACGTCCAAATACCTGATTTCTTCCCCTTCTTCGGCCTTGTGGTATAGCTTGATGGCATTTGTCCGACCTCCAAAGAAGCCATCGCGAGGATTCAGAGGCTCGTGTCTTAATACATTATGGCCATTCAGTAAAGCGTCGGTCTCTGGGTTGTTTGTTAAATATGTGCGGAATTCACACTCCCACATTTCAATTAAATTGTAGCCTGCAGTACGAATGCGTGATGAAGTGGCTTCGGTTTTTTCACGCCGCATTGCCATTGTGTCAGACTTGTTCCCTTTCAGTGGTGTCGTCTGGTCGGAGTAACATGACTCACAACCGTGAAAGTAGCAACCATGAAACTGGTACACGGTGTTCGTAGCTGCGGAGTATCCGTCGACAAGGATTCCCTCCTTTAGGCGAACTTCTCGAGAGTTGCCAGCGTGTTGAAGATCGGGAACATCAGTGGTTTGTAGATGAATCAGCCATTTGATGGCTGTCCGACTTTGATTATCGGCCATCCTGTTCCCTCCATGTGGAATGAGGCCGATCGTCTCCTCTTGAAGGAAGTTTCTCCGGAAGACCAGACTGCATGCAGAGGCAATAGTGCAACACTCGCGGAAGGGGTCCACCTTGTTCTCCTCGGAAAATTTCTGCCAGAACTCCACGCACGCCTGCCGTAAGATATTGACGTCTTGGACACAATATTTTACAATCTCCTCCTTAAAATTGAATATAGCGTTGCGGTTCACTTCTGCATTGTACCATTTGAAGAAATCGTCGCGATTTCTTTCAGACATTTCGTCGACTCCATAAAAATGTGGGGAGGGTAGTGGGCCAATGTAATTAGCATTTTCCAGAGTATTGAAGAAGTGTGGGAAGTGTCCTTTACACCCAGGGAAACTGAACGTTTTCGGTAGAGCACTTAATGGGACAGGCATAAAGTTCAAACTGTCAATGAACCTAATGTTGTTGTTACATGCCAGCGACGTAATCTTTGTACCCGTAGCGATAATGTCAGGATTCCATGCCGAAGGAGTTTTCATCATTTCCTTCAAGATGAAGATACTATCGTACCCTTTGCTGTTGTGAGCGATAGCCACGACGTCACGATTCTTACGAGCCAGGGAGGACACGAGTTTTAAAAGTTCATTCACGGGGTCTTCTTTGAATATATGTTCGCGGGGACCACAGTTATCACAAGGGACGTTGATGTCTGTATTATTTGTGATGCACGATTTGCAGAGCTGTTGAGCGACGCACAAGTTGGGAACGTGGACGTACGTGTTGGCGCGATTTTCGAATTGGTCGTCTTGTCGACACTCAAAGTCATAGAAAACAAACACAAAGTCTTTGTTCATCTTCTTTTTATCGGGGGTATTCTTCGCCATGTAGCACAAATGGCGTATTGGTCGGTCAGCTTGACATGTAACACATTTCTTGATACCGCACTTGTGTGGCTTTTTCTCCTTCCACACCGTAACCAAACACGTACGACATCGACGCACTTTCGCGCACAATTCCTGGTCTTTATGATGACGAAAGCACTCAAGGCCGCGGAAATCACGGTTACACACCTCGCACTTAATGTTCGGAGCATCCTTGTTGCACGGAGGACTAGTGTGACAACAGGGGCAAATGTACTTACAGTCTTTATGATGTTGTCGTTTACTCATGCGAACCCGACACAGCTCACAAAAGTACTCGCACGTGAACGCTGACGTTAAACTGGTGATTACGTTGTAGTGCTCGTTTTCCATTATCAGATTCAGTACTTGACGTTGTGGAGATCGTGGACCCTCAAAGTACACTGTTTTTCCCATACGGTGATTGTATACTACGATGGTGAAGTCGGTGAGATGATCCTGGAACTGACGTATGTGATCAATGGTACCGCCAGCCGATAAATCCACGCCAGCAGCTGCACATAGTTGAAGAGCCTTAGTCTTCTGAAGACTATGCCCGACTTTCAGGTAGGGTAGCTCTATGGAGTTGGTCCGGAAAGCTATGGCGGTTACGAGGGCTCGAGCGAGGCACAAAGTGTCATCGTTGTTGATGATGATGATTCCACGTTTTTGCCGTGAGAACTCCGCGAAGCTGACCCCGGTCATTCTTTGACGTCCTTTACCACTGGGTGGGGTAATCAGACTTACATCAACTCGTAGTGCATCGCTGGAGAAGAACGCCTTGTTACTCTGCATAACTTTATCCAGAGTCTTCAGCATAACGTCAGCATTCAGCTGATCTACACGACGGAACGAGAAACCAAGAGGATTGTCGGGGAACTCGCTATTTGTCAGCATCATACCAATACGGTCACTCCCACTATGCCTCTTAGTTACGTAATTGATAAGAGCTGTCAGTGATTTCTGAAACAGAAAACTTCAGTTAAGTTTAGTTTAATAAAATAGCTTTGTATGCATACCTTAAGCCATTCTAAAGGTGCTTCATTGGCTTCCGCATTATTAAACTTGATCATCAGTTGCTGGGCTGTCAAGTTGAATTTTTTTATGTACCGCTCACCCTCTGACAACACAGAGAAGCGATGAGGAACTCCACGACCAACTTGCGGTGGTGATGGTTGCAGACCAGAGGTCAATGTAACAGAGTTAAGCTGCAAAGAAGTTAACAATTAAAGTCATTGTTTTAGAATAATTAAAACAAAACTTACATTATTTACACAGGGCGCTACAGATGTGGCTGGTTGTAGTCCCGATGTTGATGGTTGAGGGTTAAGAATCTGTAAAGACGTTATCATTTAGAACTTGCGCACTTGAAAATTATTATTATTATTCAACTTACATTATTTACACACGGAGCAGCATGCTTTCGCTTAGGCTTTGCATGGGAAGCGAAACGGAAGGTTGCGGTGGATGCTGTAAGGAAATGTACAATTAACATATGAAGCAACTTTTAAAATTAAAGTAAACTTACTTTCACACAGAGATCGAGGGGTTGCGATTGGGGTTTGTAGTCGCCAGGGGCAGATGGCAACGGTGGATGCTGTAATGAAATTTACAATTAAAGTATCAACAAGTTTCCAAAAAAATAAAATGAACTTACTTTTACAGTGAGATCAAGGGGCTGAGATTGCTCTCCTTGAAGCTGACGGCTAGTGGACGGCGAAACTTCATTCTGTACAAATAAACAACATTTAGAAAACGAAACTTTAAAAATTAAATAAACTTACTTTCACACAGAGGTCGAGGGGCTGCGACTGCGGATTGTTTGCTATAGCAGCAACGTGATGGGAATTCTACAAAGAAATTTATATTTAGAAATTTATAAGTGTACAAATATTAAAAACTTACCACATTTTGTTGAAGCAGGCGCGTTTGTATTGCCCCAACTGCTTCGCGAAGACGCCTGAAGCGTTCAATGTCTGCGGCGTCGGGAGTTACCTCCCCGGAAGTTACCATTCGGAGCATATAATAATATGCCTCCACCATATCGTCTTCCGACAGAAGACCACTCTCAAAAACACGACACAACAACTTGAAATGGGCGGCCATTGCAGAAATTTATGCACAAAAACTAAACACTCACAATAAAAACACGCAAAGCACGAGAAAACACGTACGTACAGATGTAAGAACGCAAGTAATTTCGAGTCACGAACATAAGCTTTTTTATATCAGGTCAGGTCAGGTAAAACAGAATCCGACCCCTTCCGAACATTGCCGAACGTTCTATTGTTCGCCTAAAACCGGTTTTACGCTTGATTAAACACGATCTATTGTTTAAAATGCATGACTCATAACCCGCTAAACCTGTTTTCCACATGAATAACCATATCTTTTGTTTTGTGGCCGTCTTTATGGCACCACATCAATCATTTCTTTTGTTTCTACATCCGGTTACATGGGAAAGCACTTAGTTCACACTGGGCGTATAAGTGTTTTCTTTTTGTTCAGGACACCTGCACAAGTATGACTCATAACTCGCTAAACCTGTTTTCCGCATGAATAGCCACATCTTTTGTTCTGTGGGTGACTTTATGGCACCACATCAATCAATTTCTATTGTTCGCAATATGACTCATCGATTTGGTATTTTGATTTAATTCGCGAGGATGACGTATTAGATTTACAGTTACGCGCAGTTTATAAAAGCTACTGTGTGTGACGACTCGTTCTCATTTGTGTTCAGTTCAGTGTTCAACGTGATATTGTGTCAGCGTCCAAGTTTATTGCAAAAGTTACAAGTAAGTTCAACCCTCTTTATTTTTCCTAAATTGGTTATTAAATAATTGTAGGAATTTGTTTTCTAATTTTACTTTTTATTACAGATCATGTCTTCATACAGTAAACCTTATTCTCGTCCATCAACAAACCCCAGAGATCCTCGTACTGCTGAAAAGTTGTCGACGACACTCAATTACTACAAGCCTATTGCATCATTGCCAGAATTCTGCTACACAGAGGATGATCACCGAGCATTCGACAGGGATGTTATGAAGGAATACAACATCTCATCTTACAATAATCCAGTGCCCAGACACGAAGATTTCTGTTTATCAACACAAGACCGTAAGCGCATACATAACAAGTTTATGGATAAAGAACGACAGCAATTACTCAGTGAGTCGACATTTAATCTAAATAATAGTGGATCCAAAATCCTGAAAGTGGGTCTAGACGTATTTGAAGATTGCCCCTGTGTCAAGATACAAGGCAAGGATCGGAGCATATATTTTTCAAAGAGTGCATTCGAGAGTTTTTTAAGCGAATTAGAAGACATCGTCGGAGCAGTAACGCGCGAGGAAGAAGATGAAACTTTCGATCTAGAAGATTTTCATGTACGGTGCTGCAGAAAATATAAAGCTGCGCGTATCATTTCGAAGAAAGAAATCCACTGTGAACTGTACTTGGGACTCGTCACCCTGGAAAAAGTGATCGCTATGGCAGACTACTTACGTCAGAAGCTTAATTATTTGGGTAATTATTTGGAAGGTAATGATTGTCCTTTCAAAAACTTTGTAGAAAAAGTTGTGGACATTCTGGATAGACGTCAGCAAAAAGATGTGAGTTATAACGATTTGTTAGTAAATTTAACTGATGAACCTTTAGTTATACATGAGTTTGCATATAATCCTCTATCTTATCAATCACAAAATACGGATACTTATGGACTAACTCATGTATAACTAAAGGTTCATCAGTTAAATTTACTAACAAATCGTTATAACTCACATCTTTTTGCTGACGTCTATCCAGAATGTCCACAACTTTTTCTACAAAGTTTTTGAAAGGACAATCATTACCTTCCAAATAATTACCCAAATAATTAAGCTTCTGACGTAAGTAGTCTGCCATAGCGATCACTTTTTCCAGGGTGACGAGTCCCAAGTACAGTTCACAGTGGATTTCTTTCTTCGAAATGATACGCGAAGCTTTATATTTTCTGCAGCACCGTACATGAAAATCTTCTAGATCGAAAGTTTCATCTTCTTCCTCGCGCTTTACTGCTCCGACGATGTCTTCTAATTCGGTTAAAAAACTCTCGAAGGCACTCTTTGAAAAATATATGCTCCGATCCTTGCCTTGTATCTTGACACAGGGGCAATCTTCAAATACGTCTAGACCCACTTTCAGGATTTTGGATCCACTATTATTTAGATTAAATGTCGACTCACTGAGTAATTGCTGTCGTTCTTTATCCATAAACTTGTTATGTATGCGCTTACGGTCTTGTGTTGATAAACAGAAATCTTCGTGTCTGGGCACTGGATTATTGTAAGATGAGATGTTGTATTCCTTCATAACATCCCTGTCGAATGCTCGGTGATCATCCTCTGTGTAGCAGAATTCTGGCAATGATGCAATAGGCTTGTAGTAATTGAGTGTCGTCGACAACTTTTCAGCAGTACGAGGATCTCTGGGGTTTGTTGATGGACGAGAATAAGGTTTGCTGTACGAAAGCATAATCTGTAACGAAATGTAAAATTAGAAAACAATTGCAACAATTTAATTACCAATTATATCAAAAAAAACAGAGGCGATTGAACTTACTTGTAACTTTGAACTAGTACACTGACACAATATCACGTTGAACACTGAACTGAACACAAATGAGAACGAGTCGCAACCCTCACCAGCTTTATAAACACCGCGTAACTGTAAATCTAATACGTCACTATAATCGCGAATTAGATGAGTCATAGTTGTGCAGGTGACGATGAGTCATGACGAGAACAAAAGAAAATGATTGACGTGGTGCCATAAAGACGACCACAAACACAAAAGATGTGGTTATTCATGCGGCAAACAGGTTTAGCGAGGTATGAGTCATACTTG